ATATATTATATATATATATATATATATATATATATATATATATATATATATATATATATATATATATATATATATTATTCTATGTGAACATTTATTAATAAACAAAATACATTTACAGGAAAAAACATAAACATGAATACAATGGCACAATGTATCAAAGATGATGAATTTCCTCCAGCTCCTCCGAGGCTGGACGTGAGCCAAGTATGCAGCAAGCATTTCCCTCTGAATGGCGACGCTGAGGCGCTGGAACATGAATATATATATACATACATATACTGTATTATATATATATATATATATATATTATATATATATATATATATATATATATATATATTTAGACATTACCCCACCGGCCTTGCCAATCAAAGATCCCTAAGCAGACATGAAGCAATAGTGTTACTACCCACATACTTGACCATTTTCTTCATCTCTACATTTTCTAGGTGTTCTACTCGCTTTTCAAACCTGAAGTTGTACGAATATTGTAGAGCACTCAATAATGTGTAGTCTTCACTCTGGGCAGCAGATGGCAGCAGCCGCTGGACGGAAATTTCACCTACTCTATGAGATGTAGGCAGACTACACACCCTTCGACATAACTAGAACCAGGCGCCAAGGTTGGAAAGGCTGGTGCATTTCCCTCAGATATTCCATCAGCCCTTAATAATAATAATAATAATAATAATAATAATAATAATAATAATAATAATAACGTTGCTTCAGCGTTATTCCAACCTGACAGACAAATCTTCCTCTATATCAAACATCTGGAGCCGTCCCTGACTAGAATTTGATCATCTCTTGCTCAGCAAATTCTGGATATTTTTCCAGAATGGTTTGTAATTATCCACTACAAACCATTCTGGAAAAATACCCTGACTTTGCTGACTGTAAATAAAAAATTACCACGTGTGTGTGTGTGTGTGTGTGTGTGTGTGTGTGTGTGTGTGTGTGTGTGTGTGTGTACTCACCTAATTGTGGTTGCAGGGGTCGATACTCAGCTCCTGGCCCCGTCTCTTCACTGATCGCTACTGGGTCCTCTCCCTCTCTGCTTCCTG